GGTAGTCAGAGAAAATGACAACACGACGGTAAAACAATGAACAAGCACTTTTCCAGAACACCTTTTCACACAAACTTATTTGACCCAGAGTGCTTCATTCCTTCGATTGTTGTTTTTTCTAAGGAATATAGAAATTTTTGATCAATAGTCACCGGACTGTTCATAAAGCTCGGGTCTTTTTCAAATCGGGCAAGGATTGCACGCGATCTTTCCACTAGTGCTCGCTTTGATCCACGCTCAGGCATTTCAGACAGATCAACATCCATGATTTTATGAATAGATTCGTATGAAATTTTGAAAGTCTCAGCTATACGTTTTATTCCAATTTGATAGCCTATTAAATCATGAACAGAATCAACATTTTCCGGGGTTGACACTGAAACCGGTCTTACACGTCTCATCATCTTGAAGGTATATCTTTTGAATCAAGCAACCCAATTTTTTACAGTAGCATATGAGGGTATTGACCATGTTCTCGTAAATCTGCTTGCCCCATAACCCCTTCAATTACAGGTACCCAATGATGGCTCGATATCATTCAATCACACTCGCGGCAGATGGTTTCTTTAAAATTTTCTTGCTTCCTAATGCTTAAACTTAATGACATAAAACTTCGCTATTACACTTATAATTAATTATATTTTATTGCTTAGGTAATGCGCTGTTGTTTTGTACATTCCAAACGGCCAAACTAGATATCAATACCCCCTCGTATGTTTTTTCTCACCACACAAATTAGAAAAAGTTAGTGTCAAATGAATGTAGTCAACCATATACTCATGTCAGTTGGCTACAGCGCCATCTATGATAATATGAGATACTAAGTTGCTAAAAGTATTTGTAGTTATGGCGGAGAGGAGAGACATATTTATATGTGACAAATTCTCATAGATGAGGTATTTTATCTCTATAACTTTTTTGGAGGCTATCTTCAACTAGAATACGTTAATCAATGACTACACTGATGCAAGGGATTTTCAGTATAACTATCAGTTTTCGACCTCCCGTGAGTGAGTTTTAAAAAAGTTGTTTTTTTAAAATACAATACTGAAAAATGTACTTTTCCACAATTATTATGATATTGTTATGATGCTAGCAGAACTAAGACTTAAATCTGACTGTAAAATGTGTTAAGAACAATAAGTAAACTCCAGGCCTTCTATTGAATTACTGGCATGGTTAGCATTACTACTAGCATATTAGCACTAACGGCTGACATAACTCGTGGATCAAAGCGAAAACCTGACATCCGATTCCTGGCAAATTTTTATTTTATCTTTGAAGTAGAAAAGTGAGATTTGTGATACGCAGCCGATTTATCCAAGAAACAGGGCTATGTAGATATACGCAATATTTTGAGAAGAATGCGTTCAAACTTTAAAGTTTCTCCATTTACTAACATCCAACAATGCTGTCAATCCAAATTCAATCTCTCAAAAAGAACATATGAAGTATCTAGGTATCTTTCTAGAAAGGCGGCTTTATTGGGACATTCGTATTTCTTACATTACTGAATACTAAGATTTATGTTTTATAATTTTCATTATTTTAACCATTTTTTGATAAAAAACAAACTGTTAACTATACTATATTATAACATCAGTAGAGTGCTATCTAAAGTATGGTTTAACGGTTTGGGGTGCTGCAAATAAATCACATATTGGAATAGTTGTAAAAACAAATTGATTTTGAAGACAATTTACAATAAAGCCCAGAACCGATCTTTTGTACTTAGAAACAGAAATTCTCGATATCCAAAAACTATATCTCTGTAGCATCCTACATCAAAATAAAAGGGAAAATACCAAATACAAAAATTATCAGTACAATACTGGGAACAAAAATCATTTCATAAATTTAAGTATACTTAAAAACGATATTGTGCTAAAATCTTACAAATGAAATAATTTTTTTTTCGAAATACTACATTCGCAAATACATTTAAACAATGGTTACACAAAATGTTTAATAATGAACTCATCATATGTATATATTTGATTTAAAAACAGAAATTGATTATAACCAAATTATATAAAATACCTCATACATTGTACATTTTGCACTATAAATTATGTATCTCAATTAAAAAATTGTTATATATTAATTATATAAAATTCACGTACAAGGATATTGTCCTTTTGTGGATGGTAATAAAGGGTGTCCCAAAATTAACGCAAGATTTGAATTTGCCGCCATTTGTGCAGTGAAGTGTTGGCAACCCTGAAAAAAAGCAATTTGACAGCTAACAGTATAGGGTTATGAAAAATGGAGCGTTACACGATAGAACAACGTGTCTTCATTATTAAAGAATATTTCAAAAATAGTGAAAGCTTGGCGGCTGCAGTTCGAAAATTTCATACAAAATATGGCCGGAATAGTGTTTTAACTTCGTCAACTGTGAAGAGATTAATTGAAAAATTCATGGAGACTGGATCCGTTGGAGACGCCAAACACACTGGTCATCCAAAAACAAGCCGTTCAAATGTGAATATCGAAGCAGTGCGTGAGAGTGTTGCGGACAATCCAGGAACCTCAATTCGACGTCGTGGACAAGAATTGCAAATGTCAAGAACCTCTCTACAGCGTATACTCACCAAAGATCTGTGTCTTCATGCTTACAAACTTCAATTAACACAACAATTGAAGCTTAATGACCATGCAGAGAGAAGAGAGTTTGTTGAATGGATTATTGAACATCAACAAATGGACCCTGATTTTTCAAGCAAAATCATCCTAAGCGATGAAGCACATTTTCATCTTGATGGCTTTGTCAATCGCCAAAATTGCCGCATTTGGGGTTCGGAGAACCCACGTGTGATTGTCGAAAAAGAAATGCACCCACAACGCGTGACTGTCTGGTGTGGATTTTGGGCTGGAGGCATAATTGGGCCATATTTTTTTGAAAATGATGCTGGTCAAGCAGTGACTGTTACTGGTGCTCGATATCGCGACATGATTACACAGTTCTTTCTGCCAAAATTGAATGATATTGATGTACCCAATATGTGGTTTCAACAAGACGGTGCCACATGTCATACAGCCCGTGAAACAATTCAATTACTGCATGAGACATTTCCCGGTCGTGTACTCTCTCGTTTCGGTGATCAAAATTGGCCTCCTAGATCGTGTGATTTAACACCATTAGACTTCTTTTTATGGGGTTATTTGAAATCACAAGTCTATGTCAACAAGCCCACAACCACCCGTGCATTAAAGGAGGAGATTCAACGCTGCATCAACGAAATTCAGCCACATTTATGCAGAAGGGTCATGGAAAATTTCGACAAAAGAGTGCGCATGTGCATGCAAAGCCGTGGAGGCCATTTGTCCGATGTGTTATTCCATACATAACCCTATCCTATGTACTTTATGAGTCAATAAAAATATAACTATTAAAAGACTAAAAATGGCATTTTCTATTTAATTCAAATCTTGCGTTAATTTTGGGACACCCTTTATATTCACGTTAAATTGTAATGTTAAGTGACTAAATCAGTTCATTTCCATTTTCATCTTTTGTTGTTTCAGGTGAATTGAATTCGATGTACTGAGGTATGGGCCGCTGCGTTGATTTCATATATGGCCATTAGCCATCAAAAGTAATGTTTCGCAAATCCCTATTTGGAGCAAGTTAATGTGCCTTTTGCGGTCTCTCGCTAACTTCGGCAAAAACTAACATAAAACTCGTGAACTACGCAACCAATTTTCGTAAAAAATGGCTTGTATTTGAACTTGTAGATAGGTAAAAACTATAAATGCTTTCAATCTTCAAGTTTACTCAGTGCAAAATTCCCATTTTCGTCTTCCATATCGTCATCTTTATTACGTATCTGAGATACTTACTGTCATTCATTAATTCATATTCCATCATTTGCAGATGATACTAAGTCAATGCATAGTTTTAATCCAAATGAGGTAGCAAGTGCAACAATAATTTAACAAAGCGATGTTAACAATTCGATACAATATTTTTTTAATCACGATCTTAAAATAAATCCAGAAAAATACAAAATATTATTATTTTGTAATTAAAAAAAGGGAAATGCTGCTTCTATCTCACTTAGTAAAGATTTATATAAATAATCAAGTTTTCGAGTTTGCCGAGTCTGCAGAGATACTTGGTGTAGTTTTTGACACTAAAATGAGGTTTGTTGAACGTGTAAAGAATCTGTCCCAAAAAAACGTATCGCAAATTAAATTTTAAACTTCGCAAAAAACAATGCGAATGTTTAGTCATATCTTAAATTACTGTGATATTGTCTATTTTCCGTCATTAGATTGCTTTACAAAAGACATTATCTAAATCATTCAAAATAATTGTGTACGGTTCATTTTCGGATAACGAAAATTTGACCATGTTTCAGCCAATTACCAGATATTGAAGTCGATGAAATTTGAGAGTCTAGTAAACTATCACTATTTAATTTTCATACATAAATTGTTGCATACGTCAAAGCGCTTAAACCTCAGAGAAAAAAATTGTTTTTAGGAAGGATGTGCACCCTAGACGGTTAAGATACAAAATTACGAGTTCCAACGCACGAAACAAAATTATTTAAACGTTTTTAATCTAATTTAGCTACCAGGTATAATTAAATACCTGAAGTGTAATAGTCATATTCTTTGTCTACATTCCGCAACAAAATTAAACTGTTTATAAATTCACTATCCACTTAATCTTATCATTTCTATATACAGGGTGTTGATAAAGTATGTATACAAACTTTAACCATCGAATCCTTGGACAATTTGAAGACTAAATGTTCATATGAACATAGGCCCGTATCGGCTTTCTGTTCGACCTAGAGCACTATCACTAAAGAAATTCGAGTAATGTTCCAAATATTTGTATGAATAATGAAAGTTATTTATTGAACAGTTTGTATAACCTATGATAAATTTTGAATGTCTTACAAGTGGCTGAGGCTCAATATGAACGTGGATGAAATTAGTATTATCCTGTATTTTAGAAAAAAAAATATTTGGAAGGTCAATAGTTTTGAACGGTAACATTCGAGTGGAGCCACAGCAATAGAAAATATTTTAAAATAAATGTTCAAACTGATCACCTTCAATACAGGCGTCTAGTCTGTTACACATTGATTGACGAACTCTCCTGAAAATACCCGGAGTATTTTGTATAGTCAGACATGACCCGACAATAATTCTGACTCCTAAGTCCTCCACGCTTTGAACAGGAGTCTTGTATACTAATGATTTCAAAAAGAAAAAATCGATAGGATTCATGTCAGGCGATCTCGACGGCCATGGCTGTGGTCCGCCTCTTCCAATCCATCGATTTGAATAATATTATCTAGGTCAGGGCTGTCCAACTTAATGTGGCCCAAGGGCCACTTCAAAAAAATGCAGTTTGAAGGACCGCATTATAAAATCTTTCTATACAACATTATTACAGAGTTAATGTAAGAATTGTGCATATTCGGTATTTGAAAGTAATTTATACATGTGATGTATACATGACCCGTGAAGCGGGCAGCAAGAAAGGAGTTGGGGGCCGTATGTTGGACAGCCCTGATCTAGGTGTTCTCGCGCAACGACACTGAAGTGTGCCGGAGCACCGTCATGCATATACCACATGCGACGTCGTTCTCTAAGAGGAATTTCCTCCATTTATCCAGGTAGGTGAAATTCCAAAAATCTTCGGTACTCTTCGCCGCTAAGTCTGGGGGAAAGGAAATGAGGGTCAATCAAGTGGTCACTAACGATTCCAATCCTAATATTGAAGGAAAAGTCATGTTGCGTATTATGTTCAATTATGTCTTCTTCGACTTGGATGGTTCTTACTACTTGCGGGTTGTCTTGCAACAGGTGTGGATCTCTTGAAACTGCCTGTGTCACATAATCGAGCGTGAATGTTGATGAAAGTTTCTACATTAGGCAGCGGAGCGGGCGTCGAGTGTTACCCAGAGCAATTCCGTAAACGAAATGCGCATATCTCTTATTTCTTGATTACTGAACCGAACCACTATGACAATTAGTAATCTCCAAAACTTATTTGGAGTCATAGAATGACCAGCAAGAAAACAAATATTTGACAGCTGTCGAATTATTTCAGAAAATAAATTAATTCAATTGTTTTCGAGTACGTCATAAGTGTCTAGATAAGCACAATATTTAGATATTAAATGTATTGCGATCAAAACAAATCAATGTCATACTATATTTTCAAAAAATGCTGGATAAAATTATCCGTATCTACGTACATGAATGTTCTGAAAACAACTGTAAATCATGTGATATTCACCACAGGGCATACTTAATTAAAATAAAATACGTTCCATTCTTTTATAATTTTTCAGAACAATATCATCATTTCTTTTAGTGCTAATATGCTATAGCTTGAAAACAAAGCCGTTGTGGAGCCATGTTCATATCGAAATTTTATCTTCAAATTGACCAAGGATTCGGTGGTTAAAGTTTGTGTACATACCTTATTAATAACATAGATATATATATGATGTATTGTAATTTTTTATTTACTTAGTTTCTGATCTTGTTCTTGTCTGTTTTTTTCCTTAAGATAGGACATAAATTTCTGTATTGTGTTACCAATCGTTTTCCAAATAAAGACGACTATTATTATTAATATAGTCGTGGAATTTGTTTCATTATGTTTCATAATAATTGTTATTGTTATAGTATGAAAATTCATAGCCGAGAGTGTACTCGCCTCTGTGAACCAACGTGTTAGTAATCCGCAGCCGCAAATACCACACCACCGTTTCATATTCTGCACCCATTTAACATATTCCAAAACAAGCAGCATGCCAGCTTCAACTTCCCTTTTGTACACCTGCAAAGCTCATCGCTGCGATAACAAAGCAGAAACAAAATTCACATTATCATCTCTCGTACGAGAGGTACGTTGCAGGGACGTTGCTTAAAGGCTTGCTAGGGGGACCTACCTAGAATAATTGTGCAATTTGGGCTGACAATAGCGTCTCTCCAAATCCCTCAATATCCGAATTCATCAACGTCCCATTCCTCCCATGTTGAGTCTCCCTTTTATGCTCTAGCTAGCCCGTGTCCAGGGGTGCACCACAGTCTTCCAAGATGTTGCCGAAGTCGTGATTCTGAATGAACGTGAGTGAATGTACCGGGTGTTTTAAATCCAACCTTTATCATCATTACGTAGTTAGGTATCTAAGAGAGTTTCCAAATTCTGATTTCATTTAAAAAATGTATAATTTGTCATTCATTGACATTGCAAAGCCTTAGTTATTCCAGAAAAAGAGAAGTTCCTAGGTAGGCCATTAAATTATCAGATGGTTATTTGTTTCATATCAACATCCAATTTATTTTAAAAATCCATCTCAAATAAAGTCAGGAAAAAATAAAAATGATTTTGGGAGGGATATATCTTGTATGCGAAACGAATGACTATCTGATAATTCAAAGGACTACCTAGGAAATTCTGTTTGGCTTGGCAATGTAAATATATGACGTAATTTACCTTTTTGGAATCAGAATTAAAAACCGTATTCATCTGTGCAAAAATCCAATATAATAAAAAATAAAGTTGATGCTGGCGACAAGAGACGAAACTTCAAATTGAAATTCTAATTATGTCATCTTGTAGAGGAGAAATAGTGGCAGTTTGGTGTGCAGTTTATTTTAAAATCCCACTACAAATAAAGGAAAAAAAATAAAACGATTTTGGGAAGAGTCTGTTTTTTCTGTCTCTCTCCAGAAGAACTAACTAAGAATGTAGATTGACTGATGAAATTTTACTTTGGAATAGTGTGAAACTTAATTTTTAGTACGCCTAAAGTATTACAGAGTTATGTAACCTAACCTCTAACCACGCTTTTTGCGACCATTGTAGTTATTATAAGATACCCTAGAGATATGAGGTAGCATTTATCGTGAAAAATATATATTCTGCCAATTTTGAGCAGTTTCTGATAACCGTATAAAATGAACAAACAATGAACCATGAGAATGGCAAGTGGCAAAACTCGTATTCCCAGGGTTTTGAGCACACTTTTGACGTTCCAGAATGATTACTTTGTTCTATTTCCGAACGCATGTTAAAACAATTACGAACGCTAAAATTGTTACAGAAGGATGAATAATTTTCAAACGTGCACAAGTAATGGCATTGAGAATATCGTTAATTGTCTCTTCTAGAAACATATAACTTTCCACTAGTTGTTCGCAAAGTTCCAAAAATTGACATCTAGCTTCATAAAAGGCAAGATCATCTGAAATTTCATAAATTCTATTTTGAATAATCTTTATGTCTTCGTTAAAAGTGGCTTCGTCAATTTGCAGTTTCTGAATAGTATTATTGAAGTTCTTAATAACCGACATGGTTACTGAGATCTGATTTTTCATCAGGTTTTCAAGCTCATGTTCGTCTTTGGAAATTTTGTTAATGCAGTCGTTATAATATCCACAATCAGATGAATCGAGGTTACCTGTTATTGCTTTCCAAATTGTACCTATGGCATTAATTAGGCCACGTTTCATCCACGCAGCTCCGGCTGTTCTGATATAGTGGTCTTCGTTTTAAAGTCTTGCAGATATACGGCTCTCCTTCTGCTATCTGGGTTCAGCGGCGGGCGTGCTGGTCTTTTTGACTATTCTGCTAGTACTGCCTGGGTGCTGCCTTTTCTGATGCGTCGTGCGATCAGATAGAGGAGGGGGCAATGTTGCCAGATGGACGGCAACTATCAGTAGGGAAGGGAAATAATGCTTATGGACTAATTGTATGGGCATGTTTGACTGACTTGATCCGTTTAATTGATCTCTTGTACATGTTCTTAGCTAAACTTTTTTCCGAGCGCTGAACTTATTGCTTTATGAACCGATGACGGCGGTGCGTGGGAAGTACACAGTCAACCTACTTCACGCCATTTTTTCAATATACAAAACCCAAAATTGGCAATCCTCAAGGTGCTTAAGTTTGAAAAAAATATATGTTTTGTCTTCAGGCTTTGTCTTCAAGGCGTTCCATGAAACATCGTCTCATCTGGAGCTCAATAATTAATCATCCCTTGTTTTTAAATTCATTTTTCATAAAGCTGTTTATTACCTCTACCGTTCTCCCCCACCCCGTTGTTTCAATTCCCCTAAATGTCAGCAAAATGAGCAAAGAGAAAGAGAGATATATAAAAACGGGTATTTGATCAATACTCTGGCGAAATTCAATGCAGTGAATTGAAAGAGCTATGAATATTTTGAAAATTGCACCCTATAACAAAAAAACGATAAGAGTTTTTCAGAGATTTCTCGTTTTTTTCTGATCTGATTGTCTATTCACCTAGCTTTTCATAAGACCAAGAATATACCATATACCCCTTGATAATTATCGTTGAATCTTCACTGCCAATTGGGTCTTATCATTCACCATTTGATTTGTCCATTATATTCTGCAACCAGTATATTACCACTTGTACATGCTCCTTCGTACCATTCAAGAGGTAACACTCTTGAGAATCGTTATTATATTATTGTATTTATCTATTCCAGCCAGCCCCTTATCAGTTTCATTGCGGTAGCGCCACTATCCTTGTCACCCTTATCCTTTTGGGCACAGAAGTTTACTACTAACGTACAACACGTGGAGTTATACAATCTGAATATTTAATATCGAATAGAGTACAGAAACCTGTACATAGCCGTGGCATACCAAACAGGTACCCTTAAAAACATCGTTAAGTAACCAGCGGCGAACGTATATGTTTCATTAAGAAGGTATCAATTACGAAGTAGAATTGATACTTCACAGTGAGCATAGCTCTGGCGAAAGTAAGTTCTCCTAATAACACATCACCATAGTCTTAAGATAATCAAGATAGCTTCCAAAAAAAAAAACTTCTCCAGCAAAGGAAAAGTTGAAAAGATACGACATACGACATTATCTGACCCAGGCATCCAGGAACGTCAATACCAATAACGAACTGTCAGTTTGTTATTGGTTTACAGTGATTGACTTCAGGATATTGCTGATCTCTCCCTAGTATATTGCGATCTTTTTCCTGAACATTTCCATCCCGCGCTGCGTAGGTTTATTTATTTGATGCAAAGGCCATTTGTATAAACATCGCGTCAAGGTGGGTGCAGTAGAAAACTAGGATAGCCTCGAATGTTGCAAAATGAAAAGGGATGATGACAAACTTGTGTTTTTGAATTGAACGTTGACAATTTAGAACATTCTTTTTAAGCAACACCAGATGTTTATTGCTAAATTGCATTCTTCAATTATTACATTAATTTTCTCGGACAATAGAACGGTTTTTATTTTTTCACTCAAAAATGGCGCATCGAAGGAAAACAATTCAAGAGGGATCATTTGTTTTAAATTGAATGGGGAATTCAAAAATAATTTTTATTTAGCGAAAATCCGTTGGCGTACCATTTTTTTCTTAAAAAATATCGAAGTCAATACCCGTACGCATGCTCTGTTAAAGCTAAAAATTATTTTTGCATTGAAAAATATGCAACTTTATTAACTTTCACTACGTACTAAATATCAGTGAAATATCTGAAGCGGTTCTGAAAATATTAATTAATTTCCATTTTTTCCTAATACTTCAACACCGAACATTAATATTTCATGTAGATTCACACCTTTAAATATTTGCATATCATTAAGGATCACCCTGTATAGTCAGAGTACAAAAGAAAAATACATAGGTATTTATATGCAGGGTGGTGCATCGAAAACGAAACAGACGCATTTACTGGCAGCTCAGTTTTTTATTTTTTTTTTTTTGAAACGCTCAGACCCGTCGATTTTGTTTTCGAGGGGGACACAAGTTTGGCAAAAGATCACGTTCACACGTGCAGCCCCCTGTGCGGGGGTGACACCAACCCTAAAATCTTAAATGCAAAAGGGGATCGAGTG